AGGAATGCCCAGCACTTTAAACTATCCGGCATTGGTCAGCGACCGTTCGTCCTTCTGCCCGAGCTGGACTGCTCGGAGGTATGGCTATGCTCCTTGTGTGATCCGATCAGACAGAGCCCTGCTCTTCTTCTTCGTTCTCAGGCAAACCGTCGTCCTGGTGGATGCCACCGAGTTGGTTCTGAGATTCTACAGCTTGGACAAGTAACTGCATCATTTCTGTCAAGTTCCGGACTTTACAGTTAGTTGCTCGGCTTGGGTCTGGGCTCGGCGTCCCGACGGCATTCCCCGGCCACGCCGGGCCGGGGCTCCTCACGACCCGGCTGGAGCAGGCTCGCAATACCGACGATTGTTGCCGTTTTGATTACTATTGTTGGGTTGATCCGTCATGATCGGAGTGTAAGTGAGCTGGAAAGGCGCGATGCCCTTCTTCTAACGCCAAAATGTTGATGTCTTTGTTGACTCAATACCCACGTGCGGCTGCGCACGGTAGTTGGACCGTCCTAGCTAACTCAGACTTGCTTAGTAGGTTCTCCTAAATGGTTGCTCCGCTTCCCGAGGTGCCGACTTGATTTTCCAGCCAGAGAGACAGATAAGGCTCGGGATCAGTTAGGGGTACTGGTGTGGTGTCGGTCAAAGACCCTCTGACGCTCAAGTCAGTCTCTTGCCTAGGAGCAGTAAATGAGGAGGCAACGGATAGGTAAGGAGAAATGTTCGTACCTCATAGATGAGCTTTGGGGGTATTTATAGTTTCTTGCCGGATTTGGGTTTTACCTGTCGTACGTCGAAGGTCCGCCGGTACGGCTGTACGGGCTTGTCAAACACCGGGACAGGTGTCGCAAATCAATGGCTATTGTACTTTGCCAATCTAATGGTGGAAGCTGTCCCTGTAGGGATTATGAAAGTCATTACATGGAGTTCCTGAAGGTAAAAGACGTTCGGTGGAGAGTTAAGCCGTTAGGTAGTGTTCGGTGGAAAATACTCAGGCATGGAGGAAGGCAAGCAGAAGGAACAGTCGAGGTATCATGCTCGGCGACATTGGTGACAACAGGGTACCGGTGATTCCTTCTCAGCAGCATGCTCCCGAACAGTGCTCGGCATACGGAGCCGAGCAGACACCCAACACCCCTTAACTATCTCTCTCTTTCCCCCTCTAAATATCGGCGACTGGAGACCGACCGTTGATAACTGCTGTATTTATCGCTTAATATCGTATTTACTCATAAATACTTTATTTATCTGAATATCCGGCAACTTTAAAATATTAAAATGTGCTATAAACAATATGTTTTAAAATGTTACGCTAGTTAAAGAACTATATTAATCAAAATGATATTAATAAAAAAATAAAAGATAAAAATCTTAAAATAATATATTTAAATAGTGAGTTCACTAATTTTCTCATAATAATTAGAATATGCAATTTTAGAGAGCTCTAGCAACATTAACAAAAGTTTGAATTCAGAACTTGTGAATCATGTGTATTGCCACATTATTAGGTATTAAAATTTTGTAAACAATATTATAAAGTTTCCAACCATCCAAATTGGGTGGGTTGATTTGCAATTTGACGTCCAATCCAAATTAAAGCCTCAACATAAAAATTAACCCACATAAACGAAAGTTCAAGTTAGATTGAAGGAGTGGGTGGGTTGAACTTTATTAAAAAAAAAAAAAAAAGAAGAATAATAATAATAATAATAACCTTGATCAAATGAGAATTGATCAAAAGCTCGTGGGTTGACATAAGGGGTAAGGTGCCTATATTTCTTGGAACGACTCTAGAAACTTCAAATAAATAAATAGTTATAAAACAAAAATAAAATTAAAACCATATGATTCTCAATTATAAGGTTCAACCTAGTCTCATCTTCTTAAGAATTACAATAAAATAAATATTCACAATTCCAAAAAGAAAAAAAGAAAAGGATGAAAAAATAATAATAAAGTAAAAAGAGGTCAATTCTCTAAATTTTGTTTTTCTGGAAAGTCTAGTGTCCATAACATTTTGTTTAATCCATTGGTCTGACGGTCAAAAAATTGAATAAGCTTACCATTGGGTAGATATGCCCACCCACACTAGATTTATGAAAAACCGATGAAAAAAATAAAAAATAAAAAAAACACCCCTCAGATCTCACTGTTCAAACCTATCCCGTCGACGGCCGTGACACGACCCATCGCGACAACGCATCGCCCGTTCCGTCGGCACAGGAGGCGAGCTTCGTCGCGAGGTCCGATCCTTGTCCCGATTTTTTTTTATTATTTTTTTTTTTTTTTTTGAGATTATCAAATTTAGAGTTGGTTGTTATCAAGTAGTGAAGTTGTGTCTATTTTTGTTTCAATCCATATGGGTACTGTACATGATTTTTTTTTTTTTTTTTAAATATTTTCAATGGATGTTATAAATGTAGATTTATTGGATATAGATGAAGAGTAGAGAGATGATTACCGTAAAAACGAAGCTGTAACCCATCTCAAGAACAGAACCCAAAAACTGAATTCTTCTCCACATCATGTCTAAATAGGCAGACGACATGAAAGATGCTTCTCTGGTGAAATTGGCTCCCTTTGTTTCAAGTCGAAAGCAATGAGGATGTGAAGCCAAGCAACGAGCCAACGCCTTGTCGTCCAAGCATATAACAACCAAATGCTTCAGCAATCCCTTTGTGTCGTTTCCAATCGCAAAGCTCTCCACAAATAGATCGAATATCGAATTTGTCTCTGCCCAAGCGTCGTTCAGTGTTGTTATAATTACCGTTTTCTTCTCGCCTCCCATAACCATTGATGCGTTTCTTAGAACTTTATCTAATTCGGCATAGTTCGCCATCTGTTCATATACATTTAGTCATTATAATTTAGAGGTGTAGTATTTTTGTTAACACACTTTAATGCAAAAATATAAAGATTTGAAAAGAAATTTCTTCATGTTTTGGAGGGACTATTTTCAAAGTTCAGAAAGATTTAAATAAAAATGGATAATATATACAACATTATTATTTATTATGTGATTAAATCCAAGTAGCATGCTTGCGATCCAAAGGAAGGGGTGCTCTCTACACGATTTCCTCACATGAACTTTCAATAATATAAAACAAAACAGAGAGAGATCAACATCAAATGGCAGCACAACACGATGAATATTAAAAAGAGATGACAGAAAAGATTGTTGCTGACTACACCCAGCAATAAAGTCAGCCACGTCCATCTGATTAGCGTATTTTCATGAGTAGTTTATTATTAACATTGAAGATAATATTATTTTATGTCAAGTTACATTGTTTTTATGCTTTTGATGTTTGCTTGTTGAACTTAACAGAAAGTTGTGCGGGTTGTATTCTTTTAATTTGTTGGCTGATTATATGGTGATGGTAGTATTTTTATGTGATATTGCTTTTTATGTTTAACTTAATGATAATGTTTAACTTTTATTTTATGTGATATTCTGATTGTTTCTATTAATTTTACAAAAACGTAGATAAATTAACAACATACCAATATTCTTAAAAGATAAATTAATAGACTAATATCATATGAAAATGTTTATTTTGAGACAAAATATTCGTCTCTAATAGAAGGCTATAAAATTTTTTAAAACATAAATTATTAAAACATTTTATAGACAAAAAAAATTGCCAATAAAATTAAATAATTTTATATAAATTAAGTATAGAGACAAATGATTTTGTCTCTGAAAACACTTTTTAGCTACAAAATGATTTTATCTCTGAATGCATATACATTAGAGACAAAACTGTTTGTCTCTGCAGCTTGATACTTTGTTCTAATCAAATCTGCAGCATGAGCAAAAGAAAAGAAAAGCCCAAAAAAAAAAAACTGCTAATTTTCTTTTTTTGAGTCTCTGGACTCTAATTATTATTTAAAATATGTTTAGTTCGTTAATTTAAAATTTTAATTTAAATTAAAATATAATTTTATGTAAAAAAATTTTATTATAATAAAAAAATTAAATGTAAATATTTTTAAAAAGTTTTTATTATAATAAAATTTAAAATTTAAATTTAAATTGATAAAATAAACTGAATATATAGTTTATTCGCTGGCCTCTCCACAGAAGACATAAAAGGTATACACCCTGAGGATGTATTTAGACCCCATGGATCTCACTTTTGTTGTTATAAAATGCGGGTCTTTTTCTTCCCCGTCAAATCCGTTCGAGGTTGTTGTCCACAGTACGTACACCATGCATTCAGCCAAAAAATAATAATAATAATAAATAAATAAATAAAATTATACACCACGCATACAGCCAAAAAAAATAAAGAAAGAAAGGTGTATACACCATGCAGCATCATTAATCCTTTTCCCTTCCATTAGTCGTCTATTAAGAAAAAGACGTTTGGTAATGAGATTTATATCATAAATTGAATCATAATTTATGATTTATTATAGTTTTTTTTTTTTATAAAAAATATACGTAAATTAAAAATAATTTTAATATTATGATTCTAATTTATGAACCAAACGTCTTTTTTGATTCCTAGCTACCGAAACTACTTCTATACTATTATTATATGCATAGATATTTTATTTTGTTGCATATAAGAGTAAATAATAAGAAAACTACGTTTCCTTAAAATAAATACTAGCTTTTTTTTAATTATGGTGTTAGACTTGTGACTTTTAAGATCAATAAGGAGAGAAAACGAAAATTTTGAAAAAATAATTTTACTTTATAAAAGATTGAGCTTTCATCTTAAAAAATTAACTTGTTAAGTAGATAACTCAATATCTTTATATATTTATAATTATATTTATATTTAAACGACGCGGGACTCAAATATTTTAGAATTAATACAAACTCATGTGCCAAATTATTTGAGTTAGAATTATTTGAGTTAGACTAAAGTAGCTTGATAGATACTAGACTTTCATGTGATTAGTGCTCAAAACACTTAATCAATTATTATCAACCAGGACCACAAAATTAATATAACAACCGGTTGCCGTGGTAAACACGTAGGGCTTGTTCTTTTAGAATTTAATTTGAGTATAATTCTTGAGTTGAATTTGAGTTATAACTTAAGTTGAACTTGTAACTTGAGTTTGTGTTTGGTTGTGTACATTTGAGTTATGATTTGAGATAAAGAATCTTTTTGAATTTGTATTTGAGTGAGTCAAAACTTAAATTTGTATTTAGATAGTATTTTAATAAAAACTCAATGTTGATAAAAAATTTTAATATGGTATATGGGTCGAGTTTTATTCATCTTTTCGTTGTCAACGCATAGAAAAAAAATTATCTCAATTAGAATTAAAACGAAAAAGTTATAGCATTTTTAAGAATAGAAAAAATAATGTTTATTAATTTGAGTTTGAGTTTCTGCACTCGAGTTAAAGGAGAAACTTGAACTCGAATTTTAATCCTGAACTCGAATTTAAACTTAAAAAAATATAAACTCAAATAAAATTGTAATTCGAATTATTATTTTTTTAATAGCACGCAGTCATTTTTCCATTGATTACTGAAAGAAAGTTTGATAGTAACAGTGATTTAATCGTACTTCCCCTCTTTTTCCTCAAAGGACCTGTTATTGCCACCACTATTGGTGTGTGGGTCCCATGCACCATTATTGTGGATTTTTACGATTATGTATGGCGATGGATAGTTGTTTTGAGGCCTTCCCATAAATAAAAGATGCTCTCATATATTCTAGACTTATCGACAGTTTGATCTTATCACTTTTCTACCAATAGACTTCATGTGTTTCCTCGAGGTAGGTTTAGAAAATCAACTTTTTTACATACTAAAATTTTGACTGCGCTAATTATTCCAAGTAATAACCGTGAGCTAAATTCACTCAAATTTATCTTCCCTAAATATGCAAATGTTTGATAATAAGTAACCATATACATCATCCAAAATTACTAATGTTATACAGTTATTGTTTTGATTGATATTGTTATTGTTATCATTCTTGTTGCTGTTGACTTGAAATCTGACCAGAAAAATGGATCATGACTGTAAAATAACAAAATTATCCCTTATATACATACATAAATACACATGCGTGTATATACAAATATATGTTTTATAGTAATAAAATCATAAATCCCGAATTAAGCATCTAGAGGGAAGTTCTATACGTTTACATCAATTTTATCCTGTATACTTCACTAAATTAATTCATAATAACCTCAAAATATATTATATATCCAATTAAGTGGCCGTGTGTCCATTTTATGAGTAGAAAAAACAATCCATACAAATCAAAAACACCCCATGAAGAGTTAAAGAAAAGTAATGAATACATTTGAGCGTTGAATACAGAACAATTTACCTGAGAAGCTGAAGAAGAAGAAGTGGCTCCAATATATGAAGATGCATAATAGGAAATTGGATGAAATGAAAGACGATTGACGGAATTATTAAGAAGAACGAAACATCCCAAAGCAATTGCCGTGAATAACACCGTGCCTCTAAGAATCCGCCCAACTGAATTATTATTTTCTGTAGTATTACTACTAGTATTGCTGTTCTCATCGTGAGTAGCAGAAACTGAACTATTGGTCATCTTTACTTTCTTTCTCTCTTTTTTTTTTTTTTTTGCTTTTCCTGGCTTTCTTCCTTTCACGTGTCTATATATTTGTAAAAAAGTCAACTTCTATATCAATGTCCAGCTTATTTATTGGCCGTGGCACTGTGGCAGGCTTTTTTTGACTTTTTAAAAAAAAGTATATTTTTTTATATTTGTTTCTAGACTTCTAAAAATAATTTGAAAATTTAATGAGTAATTTTTTAAATATAGTACTTTAGAAAATTGCTAAAGGAGAAATAAGTAATAAGCAATAAATTAAAGAGTTGTTCTAAAATATGCTTCAATCAAATCTTAGTTTACAAATAATAAGTTGAGAAATAGAGAGAGCAGGAGAAAGAGGACAAATATAATAAAACAAGGTGTGAGCAAGTTCCGAAGACTTTGCTTTCAGTAGGTCGAGCATATTTAGCTGCAAAGTTCAAGGTAAATTCAGCGAAAAATTTAATTCATTTTCTATATATTGCATATATCACTTATGATTAATACCTATATGGACAAGTTTTTAATGATTATGTTTTTATCCATGTCATCTCTAAATATAGACGTGACGTAATAATAATTTAATTTCATTAATTATCATTAATTTTTTTAGTCACTTATTATATTTATTACAACTATTAGATTAATATCTTGTGGTTAAAATAATAATATTGAAGTAACTATTAAATGAAATAACGATAACATAGTAAATTATGGTAATTTCTTATGTTATTGGAGAGATAAAATTTAATACGAGGATTTTGTTGCAGTTAACGTGAAGTAGTAGAGTCACATATGGACAACAGTAAAACACGTGGTACAGGATAATGTTACATAATGAATTAATTACAACGTAAAATAAGGAATATTATGAGAGTGTAGTAAATTAAAGCCTAGGATAGCGTTACCTTACGGTTTTGATAAGAACAATACAAGAAAAAATTATTTGTAATGTAGTTAATTACAGTAACCCCACGAGCTTAAGATAATCAAAACATGAAAGGATGAGAAACTAGGTTCAATACGTAGAGTAGTAGGTTAATTACAACGCGATTTTGGTAAGACAAACCAATTAAAGTATGTAAATCAATGATAGTATTACGTGCAGTGATGTTCTTAATTACCGTACCAACATTAAATTAGCGTTATAACAGGAATTACAACATTACTTCTTGGTCCCAATAAGTGAATCATTTACGAAAAAATAGAATTTTAACACAATTTTGTGAAGAAAACAAAAACAAAACAAAAAAAACAAAAAAACAATGAAACCAAGTAAAAGCGTAAAGTAATTACGAAAAGAATTATTTGTATTGTAGTACGATTCACGATTATCGAAACATGGAAGGATGAGAAACTAGGTTCAAGACGTATAGTAGTAGGTTCAATGGCACTATAATCATATATAGTCCCAAAATATGCAAATTAGCATTATAGCAACTAAACTATGAACATTGTAATACTTTTGTTATTTAATTTTTATTTTTTTATACAGATTGATTCTTTAACTTTTATTTTTTTATATAGTTTTAGTCTCAAAAACTAAAATTAACGAAAGATTTCTGGACTTTCAGAACATTTATGTAGTCGTTAGAATTTACAGAAATGATTACAATAAGTGAAAGATATTCTAGTTTTCGAGGTTTTTTAACAATAGCGAAGATAACAATTTGTGCTTAACATAACTACTTGTTTAAACCTTCAAGTTATTAGGGGCACATAATTTGGCTCTATTTAATTATAGAAATTTGGTGCCAAATATATAATTAGGGACCAAAACTAAAATAAGATAAAGTTTATAAAGTAATATGCCAAATTAAAATGCCAAAGTATAACAAGACTCATAGCTTAGGGACTAACATCACTAGATGCACTCAAAAAGATTATAGTCTCATGGCACTAAACCTCACAGTGTGGACCCAAGGATAAAATACTCGATATCAGTGGAAATAATGGTGCCTGGTTTATCTTAACATGCTAAACTCTTTTATTATCATCGTGCAATAAATGATGAGCAATACATTTATATCCCATAGCCTCATACAAGATAAGAAAATATCATTAGGAAAACAAGCTTTTAGGATACATATTTGGTGTAAAACAATATTTGTACGTTTGACCTTTTGGTAGTTTCTTATAAAGTTTTGAAATCTAGAATCACTATTTTGTGTGAACGTACATATGATAATTAATCATTAACACTCGGAAACCACCTTTGATAATCAATCATTGCGCTTAAACAGCTTCCCAAGCATGTAATAAGTCGCTACTACGAAACCAACTACAAAGCACCACCATCGGTGCCAAATGCTGCGCACACCGGCGGCACCGCCAACTTGCCGGTTGTTGAGCTGATTCTCCGGTGAACCCTCTTCAGCCCTGCAGAGTTCAAAGTGAAATCTCTTTTCAATAAGTTCAAAGATGGAAGCATTTGTAAAAACCAGTTCCTACAGAAATATATGGCCGTGGTTAATACGCATTTGTTCTTTTAACAAGTAAAATTAAGGAACAGTGGAGATTCTCTTAATAGAAAGCATCGATCATGAAGATATCCCCTCTTTATTTCACTTTACTTTTGGTTTTACACAAAATGGTTACGGAAGATGCCAATGTGCCTACTCAAAACAATACTAAAAATTGGATAACTCAAGAGGTCTAATTAGCAATAAGAGTTACCGGTCACGCCTTGGTTCTGGCAGAGATTTGATTTCCGGTGTCGATGGCTCAGCCGATGCAGGTTTTTCCGGTGTTGTCATCGGTAGGGGTTCTTCAAATGGAATTGGGATATTCTTAACCTATAACACCAATGAAGATTATAGTCACTATTCGTCTAAATGTGCTGAACGTACTAACAACATGTCGGTACGAGGTAGTAAGTCTAGCCTAACGGTAATTCTGTACCCACCAATTTAATGTTGTCGTCCAGAGTATAAGAATTAAAATAAAAAATAAAACACTAAAGACAATTTTTTTCTCACCAAATCCCTGAATTGCAGACTGTAAAGCATTTGAATGTATCTTTGCTTGGCTAGCTTCTGTTCCTTGCTCATCTTCCTCCAAAATCCATAGGTGGCTCCCATGTTCAACACCTTGTTTGCGTAGATTTTCCATGTATAGCTATAAAATCAAAGAATCCAAGTTAATCACAAGATATCAAAGTTTTGTCACATGCCAAAGAGTGTTAATTTTATGCAGCGATGATTGCTGAATTACCATTCATTTATCCGCTCAAGACCAGCGTTTGACACCCTGTTCCAATACTCGGAATCCACCTTGCACTTTCCGAAGAAATCAGCAATCTTGTTGCTTGATTCTGTCCCATTGTTAGGATCAATATGGAAGCCCGAGACACCATCGATGATGATCTCCGCGGGGCCTCCTTGGTTCGTTGCGAAGGTGGGGAGTCCACAGTTCATTGCCTCGATGACGGTTAAGCCAAATGCCTCATACAATGCAGGCTGCACAAAGGCGCCCTTTGTATCCGCAACGTGGCGGTACAACTCTGAATTTCGGTACCTATCGGTTTGTGCTGCAATCCATCTAATCTGGCCCTTGAGTTTGTACTCCTCTATTAAGGCGTGCATCTTCTTAATCTCTGCAATTTCTTCTCGGTCCTTCGACTTTGACGGATCAAAGAACCCCGCTACAACCACAAGATTCACCAAGTCTCGCAACCGCTTGTTCTTTCCATACCACTCAGTTAAGCCTGTAATGTTCTTGACAGTATCTAGTCTTGCCATTGAGAATATTATTGGTTTCCTCTTGTCTGCCAAAAATCCTCTGATTTCCAAGCACATTAAGATTCATAGAAAGTCAACAATTGTAGTGTTAATGATAAAGAAACAGAAGGAGGGAAGAAATTAGAATTTAGGAAGATGATAAGAAGAATAGAGAGGATTTCTGAACAATCAAAATGCGTTAATCAAAATAACAATCACTAAGGTTATTTATATAGAAGTTAAACCAATAATAGTGAGAGGGACTTACTATGAATAGGAAATTAAACTTTTCACGACTTTTTGTATTTTTTTTTATTTTGATCTTATGAGCTATTCTTTTTCCTTGTAAGTCATCTTTTGAGAATTTTATATAATACTAATCAATTGAGAATAAAATAGGCTTACAAGTGCTCATTGTTGTCCTCTTTGTTGTAGAGCAATTCTTCAATGGCAGGTTTAAAAGTGGTAAACCGCCGCTGCGTCTCTGTGTAGGGGAAGTAGACAGTTTGATCAGCACCCGGAGCAGCAATGTTGAATTTCGGTTCGAAGACATTGATGCCAGAGACTACTCGGCAAAGTCCCGGCATGGTGAATGCCGTATGGCTTTCGTACTGTCCCGGTCGATCCTTGCTGTAGGAAACAAAAATTTAGTTATAGTATACACTCTGTTTGGTAGGAAGGAGAGAAAATAAGAATAATACAAGTGGTATTTTTTTTTGTTCTTTTATGGTTTTGGTACGATAGGGAGGATTTAAAATATGACTACTTTGAAAAAATAACTATTGTTGCTATTTTTTGCGTAATTCTAACTTAAAATAAAGACCAAATAAGTGGTTACACCTTCTTTAGAAAGAATGACTAACCTTCCTGCAATTTCTTGGTATGTGCTTGTGATGATGAAATCCGTAGCATTCATCGAGATCAAGTCGGCTGTGAACTGACACGAAAAATGGTACTTTGGATCGAATTCCTTCCATTTGGCATCTGAATCTTCATACTTGGTTTTCTCCAATGCATGAGCAATAGTTCCCTGCCAAATTATTTAGGACACCAGCCAAATTAGTTGAAATGCTTGAGATTCCAAGAAAAAAGTGAATTGATTCATAATTATATTCTTCTAAAGAAAAGACCTGAGTAATTCCTAGTTTGCTAGCCATTAAAGATGCCACCAGATTTCCATCTGTGTAGTTCCCTATTATGAGGTCTGGTTTGCAGTCCATGTGCTCAAGAATTTTTGCAGTTGCATCCTAGGATTAGAAAAGTGAAGAATATAACTGAATTGTGGATCAAAAACAGAGCAATAAGAAAGTTGAGACACAAAAAGGATAAAGGATGAAAAATTTGCCTGAGAAAATCGCTCGAGGTAAGGATAGACATCGAATCGAGAAACCCATTGGCGGAGAACTCCCTTCTCTGTCCTAAATGGAACTCTAAGGATGTGACTGTGCTTAGTGTTGAAGATAGGCTCCATCTCTTGATTGCACTTTGTTCCTTTAGCATCTGGGATGAGTCTTGTCACCTTGTTTCACACAAGAACACAATCAATCAACAATAGAGATTCGCACAACACAAAATCGTTACTAATTACTTGGTACGAAATAATTGGTTTTGTTCCATTTATAACTCACCACAAGAATCTTAGGCTTAAATCCGAGTCCTTGCTGCTTAATTCTTTGCAGCAACTCTTCTTCCAATGCTGTCACTTGATCAAGAATATAAACCACCTAAACTCATCCAAAACCATTCAAGTGTTAAGAGTATCACTCAAACAAAGGTAATTGTAATGTGGACGAATAAGCATATGTTAAAATTAGGGGGACAAAAAAAACTTTTAATTACCAAACATGTGTCAGTGCATCAAAACTACCACATAAAATGTGGTAACCAAATGTTTTATTTTTTGCTGTGTGGCAGTTCTATTCTATTACCACACATGTGGTGATGCATCATTAATGGCGACGAATAGCAGTACTCGAATCTTTTTTGTCTAACCACATAATTCTATCAAAAATCATGAAATTGTAACTGGATGAAAGGCGATGGTAACGTTGACTTGAATAAGCAATATGGTGTTATCCAACTAGGTATAACAAAATACTATTTGGCCGTTAAGCCGTCTAATTATAACAAAAACCATCATCAAAGGTCTAAGTAACGGTGATTGAGTGTGTTTATAGACCTGGCCTCCAGTATCGGGCAATCCAAGGACGCCAGCCTGGCCAAAGTAGCCATGAGGAGAGAAGATGACAATGTTGAATATGGTTGGCAGCCAGCTGAAGATCAACTCAAACTTCTTTGGATCTGGTGCTTGAAGAACCTCAGACATTGTCCTCATTGTCTCTCTAACTCTCTCTGCTGTATCTCCCCACCCTTTCTCAAATCCCCACTCTTTCAACCTGGTGATTTCACAGCAAAAATCAAATCAGCCAAGGAAACCATTAATTTACTACCCAAATTTCACTCTCTCAAATAACGTGACAGAGAGAAAATGGTCACCTCTGCTCAAAACCGTGGAATGGGGTGTCTTTTGGTTGTGTGGAGACATAGGCTTCTGCCACAATCAATGCACCCTGAAGAGCTTCGACCGTGTCCACTGTCTCGTTGATCATAAGCCTCTGCGTGTTTCGAGCAAAAACGAAAAATCAAGTTACTAATTTTCTTAGCAATAAAGGCTTGTTTGGTATCACTTCATAAAGTGGTGAAGGTGATCTTAAACAGCATCTTGAGAAGATCTCTGCAGTTCACTTAGTACTCGTAGTTTGCATGTTTTGCAATTAGATGTATAGATACACACACACACACATATATATATACCTCTCCTCGGTGGTAAAGAGCTTGTAAATATTCAAGCAACTGCCTTGCATTTCCTGAGTTGCTTGTGAGCTTTGAAGACATAAACTTTGAGATGAAAGTGAGTCCATTGCCTATGGAAGAAGGAAGAGCCGTGCGAGGGGTTAAGAAGTCAATTTCTCCAAAATCTATTTCCAGAGCGTTTTCATCATTTGCCCTGCACAAATATCAATTTCAAAAGTCCCCATTAACTGCAAAATATAAATACATAATATGTATACATATATATATATATATATATGAATGTATATATACACACACATTTGCACACACATATCAATTGTAATTTGTAAAATGTATATATGGACATGTACACAGTGCATAAAATGTCGTCGGATGTGGTATTATCAAATACATACGTATGATCTAAAATGTTATAATTTTATATATACATACATACGACCTATATGCATGCATGTGTGTAGACCAAGGTTATAGTTCTCAGAAGGACCGGTTCTTAAATAAACTAAAAGAGACTTGTAACGGCGAAAAAAAAAAAAAAAAAAAAAAAAAAAGAAACCACCTAAGTTTGTCATGTAGTACCTTTAGTTGTTACCTCTCTTAAGGATTAATCTCTCTTAGGGCTAGGAGAAAGTCTCATATAATGTGATATAAATTTTGTAATCTATGTGTAATGTTTAAAGATATGATTATCCTTTAAAGATGTAAAATTTTGAATAAATCAGTCAAAATTTGGAAGTACCAATTCTCATCAAAGATCATCTCTTTGAACTTCAAGAAATCCAAAGCCGAAATTCCCTCAACTGTGAGATCATCAGAGTTAACTTGCACATATTCCCAGTAACCAGGATTTGGTCTTATGGCCAGTCCAACATATGGTGGCACCACAGCTGCCTCCTACAATTTTTATTTTTATTTTTTTATTTTTTGGAATAGAAAAAGGTTGATCACATAATTAATAACTAAACAATGAACAGAGAGAAAGAAATATTGATGTAAATACTCGAGTGGAAATTAGGATGTAGCCAAGCATTCCTTCAAGAACTTTGCTTCTTTCAACTTTGTCTTCGATTGATTTTTCCACCTCTTCCATTATGTTGTGGCCTTTCATCAACCTTTTCCCCTTTGAAACAAACCTTTTCATCCGACCACCAACAATAACAAAAAGAAAGAAAAAAAGATCAACATATTATTGCATCATTATAGCATAAAACTCTATAATGTCATTCTATTAATTATCCCGATTAAATCCCGATAACGTTGTTAAAGTTAAAATATACAAAACATTATTTTTACGGTATCTTAAAAAAGAGAATGATGAGAATACATACATACATATATATATATATATGTGTGTGTGTGTGCCATTCATATAGAAAAAGAGGGGGTTTTTTTTTTTCTTGTAATGGAAAAAGAGGGAGTAAATAAGAACCTGGCAAAGCATCTCTTCATGTGATAACGGCTCTGCTTCAATGCATCAGGCATGCTATCAGCAATGGTATCTGACCTCTTCAAGACAGAATTGGAAGCCATTTTTGGTAATTAATTAAAGAGGACAAATAAAGCAGATGAAAAATTCAGGAACTTGTTTTTTGGGGTTGTTGTCTATGTTTTTGGCTTACGTTAATAATAATAATAATAATAATATGGTGATGTATTTATAACATGAACACACAAAAATTGCTAGAGAAGGCAAAAGAACATTCTTATATGCCATTTGTGGGGAAAGAAAGATTGAAAGGAAACTAAGGAATTATCTGATTTCGTGTGAGTAAGCAAATCTGATATTTCCTTTTCGCAGAATAATTTTTGAAAAGGGGAGGGAAAGAATTTTGTGGTATGACTTGTGAAAACGTGCTAACTAATTTATGGTGGACTCGTTTGTATTTTATTCTTTACTTCTTGCCTCGTCAAAAATTATATATTTGTTATGAGGTACAGGAATTTTTCCTTATTATTACCTTTACTTTACATGTAAACCTGGTATAATCGCAACTTCTAAATTTTCGAGCTCTCGAGAGAAAATTGAAAAGGCAGAAAAAAATATATATTTATATAAGATTGTAAGTATTTTATTAAGGAAATAATTGAATAAATATATAATTGAAATTGAAATAAAAATATGATTCTATAATGTAGAGAGTGTAAAAGGTAGAGATATCAAGATGCAAATAGCTTACCTACGTCTTAAGTACTTTGGCACTTAGTCTACCATCACAGTATGTATTTTTTTCAAAATGTGTTCTACCACCTAATATGTAGGATGCTTAATCAAATCAAATTCCAACACCCATAATTTCAAACCTCAACTAGTTCGATGCAAGAGCATACTTAAACTTAAATGGCGCTCACAGATTCGTAAGAGATTAAGGACTCAAACGAGTAATACTTAGAGTGGATTCTAAAATCTTGCCTTAGGTGATGTTTTAAAGATAAAATCATTTTAATATCTTGTATTATGCGTATGTTTTTTATTATATTAAAATGGTATTTTAATATTTTAGAAAACTTCTTTTTAGACCTTTTTGGAACACAAAATGTCTATTGTACCCTTCTAATTAATTAAATAGAAATTAATAACTTTTAATTATTTTCAGAAAATATTTTAAATATATTTAAATTTTAAAAAACCAAATAAAAAAAGAAACCCACTCTTGTTGCATAAATCAAAAATTCACGATGAAAACCAAAACTTGAAAAATAGTTTAATTCCCCGCTCCTCCGATCACTGTACCCAAACCCATGCTCTCATTGCACCCAGCAAATCAGCAATCAAAATAAAAAAGGAAAGCATCATCCACATTTCAAAATCAAGACCCAGATTTTTCTTCTTTTTTGTTTTTTTTTTTTTTTTTTGTTTTTTTTTTTTTTTGTTTTTTTTTTTTTTTGCTTTTTGCATCTGGAAAATTAGACCCAGATCCTATTCGAAAAGAAAACAAAAAATCAGACCCAGATTTTGAAATAAACTTCACAGCCTAACTCCGTGCGTTGAATCCTCGCCATCGCCTCCGGTGCAAGAAAGGGCAAGATGAAGGAAACGAGTAGGGATCTGGTTTTGGGGGATGGCCGATTGAGGATGGGTTGGATGGTTTGGGGTCTTAGTGTTAAATCCGATTATGAGTTTTTTATTTTAGGAGTTTCTCCGTAGTTCGACGGTCTCAATTTTTAACTGTTAGATTTAATTAAATCATATCTTATTAAAAGATATGTAGAATAGATATATTTTAATACAAATTTGAGTGATGTCTAAAATACTAGGTTGCGCTTTTTCCATTAGTTGCAATTTTTAGAAAGAACGATTGCCATCAAATTCTATAATCATCTTATTATAATGAAATTTTCAGAATCATTTTAATAATATTCGTAAAAATAGTTATATATTACCATTAATGATACAATTACACGTATATCTAATGCATTAACCTTTATCTATCACTGTGTTTAGATTCCAATTGTTTTTATCAGTTGGGTGTTAAAAAGAAAACAAAATATAAGTACTTTCAGTTAGCGGAGTGCCATTTTACATTTTTTTGTCAACATCGCATGCATATTTTGTATTCTATCAGCACATGATATTTTCCATCCTTTTTGAACACATAACTGATGAAAACAAACTGATAGATTAAGATTAAATTTAAGACCTTTCAAAAACTAAAGGATCAAAACGAAATTAAAGATAAAATCCAAAGACCATTTGTGAGGTTAACCCAGCATCACAAAATCCTCGATTAAATTTTCTTACTTCTTTCGTCTCACTGTTTTTTGTTGCTTCTTCTTCTTATTATTGTATGGGTTTTTGGGATCTTTTCGGGTCACTGTGACAACAATTACACATTGCTGGCAAAGAACAGAGGCTCCAATTAACACTCTATCCGGACCATGCACATTGTTATGTCTTGTGGCGTCTGGAACTAATACAAGTGGGACAATGTATATATTCCTCTCATCCCATCGGAATGGAACACAGTTGCATCAAAATGAAGAGAGAAAAAGAATAATAATAATTCCAATGAAATTACTATTTATACCAAAACCAACCGAACAAAATAACTGAGAGTTTTCCATCCATTTCTTTTCATCCCCCAAACCAACCGTGCCCTAAGGATTCAAAACTTTAATTCCAACACACTTCGCATAGTAAAATAAACGTGTAACCAACTTTAGGATTCATCATGACAAAAGCTTTTGCCCATGGCGACAACTTAACCGGATGAGACATCTCTTATTTACATAACAGAATTTGTCCATTTTTCGGGGTCTCAAAGGGGTACCTAACCTAATAGTAATAGGCGGATGGAAGAAAGAAAAGGGCAGGGCCAGCCACGAGCTTGTCTCCTCTCCAACGACTAGCTTCTGTTTCTTGACCCAGTCTGACAATGAGGACGCTGCTTTGCCCTTCTCCTGCCGTGCTGACGGGGGCAAAAAGATCAACGACTAGCTTCTGTTTCTTGACCCGGTCCGACAATGAGGACGCTGCCTTGCTCTTCTCCTGCCGCACTGAAGGGTGCAAAAAGATCAATTCGGTTTGAAGGCTCACCTCCAACAGCCGGTTCCCAGATGAGGGAACTGATCTTTCTCCGCTTCACAGATTCTAGATAGAGAGACGCGCAAACAAGTGCGAGAGAAGCAAGATCGTTGCACCAAGTCAAAAACCCAGCGAATTTATTTTTTGTTCCATAATACCCACCTTGACTTATCTTCAGTCTAGGTCTATCGGGTAATAGAATAGAACAAAAAAAAATTCGTTCATTCTTTTTTTTTTTCTGTTAAATCAAAACCTATTTCCTGACGTTCTTTTTTATTGTTTTTAATAAATTTCTCTTTATTCTACGCGAGACAATGCCCAGATAGTTACGCCTTTCATGTAGGTCGAAACTTAACCCAAATTTAATTAAACTTTATTGAAGCATTTATTGTAGTACTCTAGTATATGACCATCACTCGTACTTCCAGCCAATAAAAGATTATTCTATAGCAAAAACGAGCTTCCATACAAAACGTGCACAGAGCGTTTTCAAACTAAATAGAGAGAACATGCATCGTGCCCAGCAATTTTATAAGAGATTCTTAAGACCGTGCTTTCTGAAACCGCGTTGGAAACCTTCAACAAACCCTTCCATCTTTTCAGTTCAAACTATTTCAGGTTTTGGAATAAAAATGTAGATCAATGTCAGCCGAAAAGAACCAAGATGTCAAACAGTAGTTTAGTTAACACCCTTACAAAACAAGTGCAGCAAGGCTGCGATAGCAGTGGCAGTTTTAGAAAGTATTAAATAGTTTACTTTGTTTTTAAGGTCCATAAGCTACCAAATGTTTGCCTGACCTTTCCACAAAATAAAACCTACTGGGAGCTCAACAGTAGAACATCACCCTCTTGACATTGTCCTTTAGTGCAGGCAAGGGTCGCACAGCAGCATTTCCACCTGGCGCACGCATGCTTCGTGCACCTGGCCCCTGGCCCATTCCTCCGCGCGCAGCAGCAGCGCCACTTGTCATTGACCCACTATCAGAGGTCTCCGGCTCCATGTAGAAACGAGCACGGAAAGCAGCAAGATGGGCATAGTATGCAGGAGGCACTGCCAAACAAAGGAAGTAATCAATTAACAAATCAAGCATCAATCCATAAATCACATCCACAACTGAGCATCTAGAGTGAACCCGACAACTAAAATACGTAAACAAAACACGAGGAATAGATAAGAGAGAGAACCTATTGAGACTGATCGTGTGCATCGTGCATATCTGCAAACAGTAAAACCAAACATTGTTATTCAAGAAAAGCTCATCAATTCCAAAACTAATTCGTCCACAACATGGAACTTTAGTCAACATTCAACAACCAAAAGAGCATACACCATTCTTTCATGGGAAAAAAAGTAGGATCTATCACGACTTACGTGTAGCAGAGATTGTTTGTTAGGGACTGCAGCCCGTCAGCAGTGAACTTGTTTTCATCCCACAGTACATGGTAGTGAGCCGGTCGGCTAGTACCCTGTTTACATGTCAAAATACCGATGCTGCTCAGTTACCCTCCAACACAAACACTTACACGAGATGATGAAAAAAGATCAGAGCTGCAAAGATGCCTTGCCTGTATTCCAGCATGGCTACAGAGATAGAAATCAAACTCCGTTGGATGACAGATTTTCGAGTCCACAACTGTGCCTGTTTTATTGGTGTACAAGGTACGAATCAAATATATGAACGCATCAAAGGCAGAATTAAATTTACATATTTCAAAAGCAAAGAGTAACACACCCGGTAATATGTTTCCACTCCTGTCAACTGCATTGCGGTCATTATGGTTGTTCGCAAACAACCTTGTATGATGACGCTTCTGAACCACCACGAAAGTCACAGGTGGCTGATAGTTTGGTTCCAAGGAAGCACAGGCCTGAAATCATTGCCAAAAAATAATAATACTAAATAACAATGACGAGCAACAGAAATACTTTGATTAATCAATTTTCAAAATGAAACTTAATTTAAAATAGTGCCACAATAGATGTCCAAAAACTTGATATCCAGCAGGGTATATTATGCCTTACCCTGCGAATAGCATCAAGTTCATACAGCAAAACTTGATAGAACTGTCCCTCACTGACACCATCCCTGCAAAGTGATATACCCTTTAATCAAAAAGTGCAAAAATAGAGGGAACAAAGAGGGGCAGAAGTTTGACATTATGACCATGCCTGTAAAATATGATGCGTTGTGGCTTCTGGCCAGTTGCCCTACGGAATGAGATGAGCAGTTCCCTGCAGCCAAAAGAAAAGACTACTCAAGCCACTAGGCCAAAAGAATCTCCAAGCAGATGTGTGAACTTCACCAAAAACTACATGCTATAACTCGCATACTAAACTTTGTTATCTCACAAGGCGTGGTGTTAAGAGGTGAAAAGTGCAGTATTGGGTCAGAGGTAGGCGGGAAAGAGAGATATACTTAATCATGCCACCCGACACTTGCCCCTTAACAGGATCATGCCATGTTTTGAACAAATCCTGGATTAGCTCTTGTCGATGAGCTTGAGCACAGACCAAACCGGCGTACTTGGTAACTTCAGGCCAATCTTGCGAAGCCACAACCTACATTTGAAGAAAATAATTTTGAAGTCCTTCAGGCAGCACTCACGGACGAACACGAAAAGAACAAAAAAAAAATCAAAAAAAAAAATTACAAGCTTAAAGATAAAGAATATAGCAACATGTCATGACATACAGCTGCAATAGAAGGGCTTGAATCCTCCCCAGGATGAGGATGTGTAACATCAGCACCAAAAATTATAGTGGGTCGGTCACTGACCAAGGGAATGCGCCTTGATATTGCATCAACAAGTACAGTGTTCCTTCCCCCAACCTTTACATTTATTTTCAAGGCCACATTTGCAAGATACTGCTTACTCATTCTGACCACATGCTTTGTCAAACAGCACTGGGAAACAAGGCCAAGATCTGTCTCACAAATTCGCTTTAAATCACCTAAGAAAAATTTAAAAAAAAAAAAATGACAACTCAGAATATGTAGTCAAACATAAACACGAAACAATATGACATTAATCCCTATTAGATTCCATACCATACAGAGAGCCGTTATTATCAGGTAAAATGACAATTAGCATATCAAGCTCCTTCCCCTGGAGTTTAGTCATCGCATCATGATAGCGAGTTTTTAGAACCTTCTCTACCTGATCAGGACGACCATATAAAGGTGGAAGTACTGGTTCTGGATTGAATGCCTACAATGAAACAAAGGACACAACATCAGACACATAGAAGTGTACAATAAAGGTTAACTTTCAAAAAACACAAGCCCTGTACCATGCCAGAAATATAACACATTTGAGCAAGCTCATTACAGAAACCCCTAGCCACAGTGTCTTGAATGTTCCGAGAAAAGTTTATGCACATCCAATTGTTAACGGTCCCACCATTGACCATTTTCTGCAACAAAAAATCATGTGGGGTATAAGACTCAATTTTAAGGAAACAAACTAAAACCGGAATCAAACAGTATTTGCCTTCGTATATACATACATGCATACATACATACATACATACATATATATATATATAACAAATTGGGGAAAAAAACCAAAGATATCGAACCCACTCAATATAACTAAAAGAAACTTAAAATCATCAGCTAATACATAATAACATAATTAAAGCGAGAAAACCTGCAAGTTAGCTAAAGACAGCAGATTAGCAAATCAGAGCAAATGCAGAATCGATTTTCACCAAGTTGTGAAATGCAGGAAAACTCATAATATCAGGAAGCATACTCTTATGGCCTCATAAAAGGTCTGAAAGGTTTTTATCAATGCAAGGTTTTTCTTATATATTTAAAAAAAAAAACACACACACGTGCACAAAAGGTCTGAAAGGGAGTGAAAGTCATCCAAAATTGTGCTTAATATGACAGCATTCCTACAAATAGAAACCTAACGAAAGTCCACTAAAACCTATGCCCCTCAGGCAGAATATCCATGGACCTTCCCTTGCACCACATACCAAGGGGCTGGTCCTGCTTGGGGCTCTCTCTCTCTCTCTCTCTCAAAAATATTTAGGCAATACATAATAAATTATCCTCTTTGAATTCCACATCAACCATCTGTTTCATCCCAACCTATTTTTGTTATACGCCATAATAGCATACACTAATGCCCAAAAAAAAAAAAAAAAGGACTGCCATCACCTACAATATGATCATGAAATGCAAAATTAGGATCTAAGATTAAAAAATAAACAAAGTGCAAATAATAATTTCAATTCATAAAGTACCTTATTCATCATATTCCACTGTCCGACTTGAGGAAGGCAATCCTTCTCTCTACCCGTGTCATGATATTTAAGCTGCACAAAGCAATGAACAAAGCAATGAACAAACGTTTTACCATCCAAGTCTGGAAACGCACAAAACACCTTAAAACAAGTATGTGAAAGATATGAAACTCACCAAAGGAGCAGGAAGAATGCGAGCTTCAACCTGAGCAAGCCTTTCACTGATTTTGATCCCAAACTCCTTTGCATAAGGATCTTCATAGTAAGCATTATGGCGAACAGTCTGACACATAGATTATTATTATTATTAAGCAACTCAAATCAAGTCCATGGACTCACAAGAGTAGAAAAACATATTCCAATCAGGAACCAGAAAAAATTTTAACACTCATGAATAGGAACTTCAGTTATTGACGTTAAATCCCAGGCTTATACTATAGAAAGTTAAGCCATCATTCCTAACCAATAGACAATCAAAAATTCAATAAAAATACAGGAATAATTAATTTAATACTATTTGATGAAACTTGAAAGTGGATTTCGAGGAAAAAATGTTGAACCATATTTGATTTGAATCATATTTGATTTTTGCACACATCACAAAATGCGAATGAAGATTGAAGACCTCCGAAAAAGTAGAGACATACTTCAACAACATAATAGAAAATCTGAATATATTTTTTAAGGACGTTGCTCCAATTGGGGAAAAAATTAAGGAAACCCAATGCTTAAATAAATCCACCCAATTTCATGAAATCGCAAGGATTGATCAGTACAAAGCACTCGCATAGCTCAAGTTAACAGAACATCATAACATTAAGTCATGAACAACAGCAAGGAATGAGATTTCTTTTAAACTTGAAAGAGAAAGGAAAATTGCAATCACTAGGGATGTTGTAGAAGGCATGAAGCCCTACAAAAAGATCAAGGACATAACGCTATTTATTCAACAGTAGAAGACAAGCGCACTTAATTTATCCAAGAGTCAGAAAAACGTAAACATACTGTAACAGAAACATATACTGCATGTAAGATTGGACAGCAATAGAGGACTTTTAACGACAGCAAACCTGCATAATATCACGTTCCCTTTCTTGAGGACGCTGACAGGTAACCTTCAGTAAAGCAGTAATCTGCCTCTCATTCAACCTCTTAGAGTATCTCTGACCCTCAACAATTTTACACACCTGTATCCAGAAACGGCCTATCAGCATAAATAGCCACAAAGCAAAGAATAGACAAAGACAAATAGTAACTCAAGTGGTTTACCTCCATTGGTAAGTAATTTGGTCTCTGCTGGTTCCCCACTTGGAGACAAGGCCATTGAGTATGCTGAATGACAAAACCGTAAGTTTCGTAGAAGTACTCAACAACAGATTTCATAGTACCTCTCTCATCCACTGGAAAACTGAAAATGAGAAGAAAATGTTAAATAAGCAGTTGTTTTGCAAGCATAGCATAATGTAAACAAAAGACTTGAAAATGGAAAATGTACAGAACACACGCTAGCATACATTGTACAGCCTATAGAAAGTAATCTAATACTCACGTCAGCTCTCCTGTTGTCTGTGATGTCAAACCAGAAATACGGTATTTTCTGCGCATATTCCCACGGTGTGTAACTTCGACCTTCACTCCACGTAAAGCCTTTTTAATCTGGTTTGCACAAAAAGTAAGTTATATCTTACCAACGTTTGTAACCAAAATCAAAGCAGTATAAACTATTACAGACATCGATTTGAACACAAACCACATAATTCAATATAGGATTGAGTCAGACAACAACAACAACAACAACAACAACAAAAACAGTTCCTTCCCGTGAGAAAGGGAAAAGAAATGTATTTAAAAATAAATAATAAAAAGACAAACTGCAAGAGTGTTGGACACATTCCGTTGAGAAGTTTTGTTACAACGAAATTTCTTGCAAGAAGACAGGAAAAAATTGTAGTAGCAATACACTTTGAAAGAATGAAACAAGAAAAGAGATTATTCAATAGGGCAAAGACAGTGAATAAAACCTAACCTTTACACGATCAGCATCAGATAATGGTCTGGATGAAACATCACGATTTAGCAGCTGAGTTACAAAATCAATAACTGGCAACGGCTCAATGAACGCAGTAGAGGACATGTCTGGATCATTAACAAATTGTCACTATATCATACCACACAGTAATGTAAAGGAACTTAATATACAAACATGCATAACTTGTATGTAACACTAAGATTAGAATGTGAGCTGGCAGGAATTAACAATCATGCTCATTAAAATCTCAAGAAAAGCGGCATAAAGATTTAGTACCAATATTAAGGGATAGCCCCATCTGAGTCGGGCGAATACTTTGATAAAATCCACGCCAACTTTCCAATCCCTCACCAAGTGGTTGTCTTCTACCCAGATCAGGAGAATAAAATGATCGGCCGACAGGGCAGTACCTACAATTAAACAGCACAGTGATATATAATTCTCAAAAGAGTCTAACAAAGACTAGGATAGCAACAGCAAATTCCTAGTCTGAAAAAGCAGTCTCACTCTCACACCATACCTAGTAGTAGGCAATTCACGTAGAACTATGTCAAGCACCTGAAGGGCCTCCTGGGGTGCATCAGCTTGCCTTCCCTGCAAGAAGAGTCCTAAATGGTGTAGGTCAGCACGAGCAGCCAATTTTATTACAACCTTAAATTCCCTCTCCCTCCTGCAACAAGAAATATTAGTCAAATGCGAGAAAGAAAACATAAGAACATAAAAATGATTACTAGAAAAGAGCTCTGCATCAAAGATCAAGACTGGGGCTGCAAAGAAAGAAAATAGTGCACACCTCTGGCCTCCTGCGCCATCATCCTCATCAATAAGAGTGATCTTGAACTCCTTAGAAATGAAGGGAAGTGGACCAGCAGTATAGAGACTCTTTCGCCCATCATAGGCAGGGAGCCGCTTTCCAAGATGGGAGTCCTGGTACAACCTTACAAGCTGCCCCATAACAGCTCGGTTGACACCACGTGAAGTGACCTCCGGTGTAATAGTAACCTAAAAAATGTCAAAAATAAACAAGGATCATGAACCAATATGCAACAAAAATAGAACAATAACAAAAAAAACCGAAATGAGAGCAAGAGAACTCACGTCATACTGGTGCAAATCCTTGTCTGGAAGCTCAGCAAAGAAGTGATTAGCCTTGACAATACACTTAATGCCAGTGCTGCCCTTTCCCGGGCGGAGAGGAAACCTCATGGACTTACTTGAGGGTGGAGCAGGCTGTATTGCCTGGCTCGGAGCAGTCTCCGGCTGTAAGCCAATCTGCTCCAAATGCTGAGCCAATTGCGAAGTTTCAGGTGGCCCAGCAGAAGAACTAGCCTCAGATGGCAGAGGCTGAGAGATCCCAGCTTGATAAGGAGCAGGGGTTGCTTGGTGCAGCTCGGGAACTTGCGGTCGGGACGGTACACCAGAAGGTCCTCCCCCACGGCCACCACCCACACCACCAGTGCCTCGTCCACCACCTCCATACCCTCCTCCACGACCTCCTTGCTGGGGCAGCCCTCCCCTTCCCCTTCCTTGTTGATACTCGGGAGGCCCACCATACTGCTGCTGCTGCTGCTGCTGCTGCTGGGGGGGGCCACGACCCCGGCTGGCGGCGCGCCCCTCCCCCGC